CTCCCACGAGCTTTTACATATACACAAGAGTCATCTTCACTTCTAGAGAAGCCAAACTCTTTGACCTTCTCGTCAAACCAAAGATTCGATCTGCGGGAAGCTTGTTTCAATCCATAGATTGATTTCTCAAGCTTACACACTCTATTTGGATACTTTGCATCTACAAAACCCTCTGGCTGACTCATGTAAACATCCTCATCCAACTTCCCATTAAAGAAAGCGGTTTTGATATCCATCTGCCAAATTTCATAGTGGTGAAATGCTGCTATGGCGAGCATTATCCTAATAGATTTAATCTTAGCTACTGGTGAGAAGGTCTCATCATAGTCAATCCCTGGGGTTTGAGTAAAGCCCTTCGCAACTAGTCGAGCCTTGAAAGTGTGTACCTTTCCATCCACGTCGGTCTTCTTCTTGAAGATCCATTTGCACCCAACTGTCTTACGACCTGGTACATTATCAACCAAATTCCAAACTTGGTTGTCATACATAGACTTGATATCGCTGTCCATTGCCTCTAGCCAATTGGCAGCTTTAGGGCCTGCCATTACTTCCTTGTAGTTAGCCGATTCATCCAAATTTACCAGTGTACTATCATTGATAAACGTATCACCTTCTGTAGTAATATGGAAACCATATAACTCAGGTTGTATTCCAACTATAGTGGAATGCCTAAGAGGTAATGACTCGTCAACTGGTTCAACTAGAATTTCTTCCTCTGGTTGAATCCTAGCGTCTCCAGAGGTTCCTTCATTGTTTGATTCCTGATTTAAGATCAATTGTACTCCCACTTTCCTTTTTGCATATGAGCTCTCTCTCGTGAAAGATTCATCTTCGTGATAAAAAGACCACGTTCTCACTAGGTCTGTAGAAAAAATATCCAAAGGACTTTTGTGGATAGCCGATAAAAAATACATCTCTCACTTTGAGGTTCAAGCTTGTCGTGAGTCTCTCGTCTAACGAAAGCTTCACAACCCCAAACCTTGATATGTGCTAACGAGGGAACCTTCCCTGTCCACATCTCGTGAGGTGTTTTGGCAACCTTCTTAGTTGGGACAAGATTAAGAATGTGGGCAGCAGTCTCTAAGGTATACCCCCATAATGAAATTGGAAGAGAAGCTCGACTCAGCATGGAACAAACCATGTCCAACAAGGTTCGATTGCGCCTCTCAGCCACACCATTAAGTTGTGGTGTCCTAGTAGGTGTCAATTGTGAAACTATTCCACATTCCTTGAGGTAATCGTGGAACTCAATACTAAGATATTCACCGCCTCTATCGGATCTAAGCATCTTTATCTTCCTGCCCAATTGATTCTCGACTTCTTGTTTAAACTCTTTGAAATTTTCAAAGGTTTATGACTTATGCTTTATTAAGTAGATATAGACATATCCCGTTATAATCATCAGTAAAAGTCACATAGAATCGATTAGCATCCCTTGTGGTGGATCTGAAGGGCCCACACACATCTGTGCGTATGAGATCCAACAAATCTTCACCTCTTTCACAAGAACCATTGAAAGGTGATTTTTTTATCTTACCCAAAATACAAGATTCACATTCATCATCTGACCTCAGGTCAAATGATTCTAACACTCCATCCTTTTGGAGTTTGGCGATGCGTTTCTTGTTAATGTTCCCAAGACGACAATGCGACATGCACGCTTTGTCTATGCCATTAGACAAATCAATATGAAACACACTATTACCTAAATTGTCTACACACATCACAGTTTCATACACACCATCACAAGGTAAATATTCAAAATAAAAAATACCATTTTTATAAGTAGAAATATAACCATTCTCATCATTAAAAGAACATATAAAACCTTGTTTAAACAATGCATGAAAGGAAATAATGTTTCGTGTCATTTCTGACGAGTAACAACAATTCAATAAATCTAAACTAACTCCGTCACTAAGAACAAGACTATAAACTCCAATCTTGGTGACAAGTGAAGATCGCCTATTCCCCATGATCAAGTTTATTTTTCCGTGATCCACATCCTCACTTCTTCTTAGCCCCTGCAAATCAGAACAAATGTAAAATCCACATCCTGTATCAATGACCCAAGAATGAGAATATGATGAGTTTTTAGACAAGATAGTGTATATACATGCATAAGTAGGCTTCACCTTGCCATCTTTGATGTCTTGCATATATTTTGGGCAGCTTCGTTTCCAATGCCCTTTTGTCGTTGCAGTAGAAGCAAGTGACCTCTTTGGGATCAGAGACAGGTGGAGCATCAGAACTGGATTTTCCTTTGGGTCCATTGCTTGACGACCCAACTTGAGACTTTCCCTTCTAGTTTTCCTTGGGGGGACCTTTCCTATTTTTCCCTTTCCCTTGACCAATGGCTAGAACGGGAGCACTAGCAGTAGTGGAGGCAACACTTTTTCCCTTTATTCTTGTTTCAGCTGTTCGCAAGAGGTTGTGCAATTGAGACAAAGCAGTTTCATTGTTGTTCAATTGATAGGTCAATATGAACTGATCATAACAACTTGGCAAGGAGATAAACACTATGTCGATTGCCAACTCTTCATCAAAATTCACAGTCAGCTTGACAAGCCTGTCCACGTATGATTGCATTCTCTGAACATGGTTGCTAACAGATTCTCCCTCTTTCATCTTGATAGCTATGGGGGACTTTACCGCCTCGTACTTTTCTTGACAAGCTCGCTTATGGTACTTTTCCATAAGGTCCTTGTTCATCTCGTACGACAAGTAATCATCATAATATCTCTGCAATTCAGGATTCATTGTGGCCACCATGATGCAAGCAACTTTTGTTGCATCATTATAGTGCTTTTTGTAGGCGACCATTTCTTCAGGAGTGGCCTTTTCTTTGTTGATCTCATCCAATGGTCTCTCAAGGACATACTCTTTGTCCTCGAAACGAAGGACCATTTTTATGTTACGCATCTAGTCATTATAGTTGGTGTCATCCAATTGCACCTTGGAGCGGATGTTCAACAAGGAAAGGTTATGGGAGGAGGAACCAGAAGCATCATTTGGAGTAGACATCTATAAAAGAAAGATAATTTTAGTCAGATAAGAACAATCCTTAATATAACAACCCAAAAGTGAAATATCAAGGCTATAATCCAACTAAATTATTCACAACTTAGAAAAGGGATGTCGTAATCTAATTGTAAATTATATAAAATGTAGGTAAATGACGATTTACCAATTCCACAATCGAAAACGAAATTTGAAGAAAATTAAGTTAAGTGAAATTACTAGATCTTTTGAGACTCATTGAAACTATTCAATGGCATGTTTAATATCACATTATGCTCTTCCATTTGTGACTGGGATAACGAGGATCACAAACAACATATGAATAACCATGCAAATTAGCTTGGCACTCTCAATGTCATTTATCATCTCATTTTAATGTGCCGGTTAACCACACGCGCTCCATTAATCAATGATAATTTTCGAGATGCCCATTATCACTCTTTATAGTCACTATTAGTGTGTCGGTTAACCACACGCGCTCCACTAACTACTATAAAGTATAATGTGCAACTTTCATGGGTTAGCATACAAATTCACATTTTCCTAAAGTAACTAAGATTGGGATATAAAATAAAAGGTTTAGTTACTTTTAATCGCATTATATTTATTAATGAGAATTCATTGTCCTATCAAACCCGTTCGGCTAACGACCTTTCACCAATCAAGGAAGCGGTGGGTGAGAATGGACACCCATTCAACTACCATTTTATAGGCAGTTTCCTTATACCCCCTTATAGATCGGCTTTGTGAATGAGGCGTACTAGCGGTTCGACTGACTTAGTCTTATACGTATAGTAATAATTAAACATTTAATTCTACATATAGTATAAGGTGTATTTTTCAAAACTTCTTTCAAAATATACTAGTTTATATTTTAAATTTCAAAAATTAAACAATTAATTTAAATTTAAAATAAACCAAATAGTATTTGACATTAATTTTTAAGTTCAATTAATATCTAAATTAATTATTTATACACTTAAAAAATCAATCATATTAATCAACAAAATAATCAATCAAAGTCAAAGACTTATCTCCTAACTTCTAGGCTTTTATTTTATCATGATATATTCAGTAAAATCGGATTTGGCAAATAAATATTGCAGATAATTATCACATATAAGCAGATTAGGCAGATAAACATCAAAATTCGGATATGACTGAGCTTACATTGTGAGCATCAATGCTGACGTCGTGAGCTGCGACTAAACAGAAAAACTAGTTTCTTTTCTTTTGATCGATTCACCAATGTGAAAGTACATGAAAGATAGCCATAGACTCTGATAACACTAATGAAAAACGTAGGTTACAAAATCTATGCATTAAGCAAAAAAACATTTAACAATTAAATGATTAGGGCACATGCAACCTATGAAGGATCTATGTCCTTCATGTAAAGGCAACATGCTATGAACTACCATCCTATAAAACTTTTGTATGTGAAACCTAATTCATAAGGATGAAAACTTACCTTGATGATTGTTGTAGCAAACAATCCTGAATTCCTTCTTCAAAGCTTTTGGTAGCTAGCACCACAAATATCGTGTCTCTGATGGTTCACACCCGACGCAAGTAAGAAGGATATTGAGGAGAGAGGGAAAGGAGATCAAAATTTTAGCCTTACTCTTCTAAGACTACCCCCATCGGTGCACATGGATGAGCGGATCACACTTTCTAATTAAAAACAAAAACTCAATGTATATTTGTGGCCTAGGCCACATGGACGACCCAGGTTCACAAAAGTTCACCAAAACATTCTTGTGTCGCGTGTTTAAGAATGAAAGGGTAGTTGTATATTTTGTTTTTCAGATTTTTAGATTAGAGTTATTATCTTTAAAAATCCAACATTATCTTAATAAAAAAAATTAAAAAAATAGTAAAATTCATGATTTTTTTCTCTATAAATAGAGTATAATATTGATATAGTTCATATCTCATATTAACTCTTCATTTCTAAACCTTTTTATTTCTTTGATACCATGGATCCAAATTTCGTTTTAAATCTTGACGATTCTCAAGATTATCAAAGCTTTCAAGGTTATGAAAGCTCTCAATTTTTCCCAAATCTCAATCAATTTCCTGTCACTGAAAATATTCAAACCTCACACAATACCGGAAAAAACCCAAGAAGCGATAAATGGGATGCTGATGAAGATATCACTTTAATGTCAACATATTGCATCGTTAATGAAGATAAGCATCGTGGAAAAAACCAAAAGAAAACATCAATATGGGCACAAGTGAAGGAGCTATATGATGCAAATCAAGTAGAAAACCCAGGAAAGCTTAATAATAGGAACATAGCTCAAATGAAAGGTCGTTATAAACGACTTAATGAAAGTGCTGGAAAATGGGTTGGTGTTTATTAAGAAGCATATAGAAACAGAAGAAGTGGAATGAGTATGAAAGATGTTGAGAATGAAGCTCATAAGTTATATGAGACAAGTGGAAGCAAGTTTAATGACACGATTGTTTTTAATGAGGTTATGTGTAAGCATCGAAAGTGGGATCTACAGCTAGATCATGATGCAACATGATCACATCCTGAATATGAAGTGGATGATGAAGAAAGTGGTGGTAGCACAAAAAGATCAAGGTCTACTAAAGAATGAGACTATTGTGTCCAATCCAACACAGAAGGGGCAAGTATTGATGGTTCAACAATTAAACATTCAACAGGTAGAGATGCAGCTAAAAGAAAAGAAAAATGTATGTCTTCTAATGAAGTTGTTGCAAAACTTCGTGCGATGAGGCTTAGTAGAGATAGTGAAGTAGATGTAATGAAAAAAAAACTCGACTTGGATCAACAAAGGGAGCAAAAAACAGATGAAAGGGAGCTAATAAAGATGCAGGGTTTGCATTTGAACACAATCCTACAAAAGGAGCAATTTTCGCCTGAAGAAGAAAACATGAAAAGTTTTCTAATGTCTAAGTTTTATGGAAACTAATTACAGTTTAGTGTATGTTTTATTTTCAGTATGTTTTTAATGTATTTGTAAGATATTTTATTATGTATTTGTACCTCGTGTTTTTAATGTATTTGTAAGATATTTTATGTATTTGTATATCATGTTTTTAATATATTTGTAAGATATTTTATTATGTATTTGTATTTCATGCTTTTAATGTATTTGTAATATATATTATATGCTTTTATTGAATACAAAGTTGTCATTATCATCTTTATTGAATGCAGAGTTGTCATTATCATCTTTATTGAATGCATGGTTGTCATTATCATCTTTCAGAGACACCATTCCTTTTCAGTATAATCTTATCATCTAGAAAATATGCCAATATCTTATGAATATAAGATTCTCTGATGTGTCATCTTTTTATTGGATCTTCGATTTTTAATAGACTAAAACTATTTAACATTATCATTCTTTATTTAACATTTAATAACAAAAAAATTAATATTCTTCCTATATAAATAGAGTATAACCATTACATACTTTCATATCCACCTTTAATTCTTCATTTCACTCTTCATTTCTAATCTATTTGAAAAATGTCTCATAATGCAAACTCATCAGATGATTCCAGTTCATCGAATGTGAATGAATATGATGAATAGGAAGCACGAGTTGTTCAACAGAATCGACAACATAATGTTATCATGAGTGAGTTACTCATATGCATATCACATATGAGCATAAGAGATCACCCAAGAGCAAGAAGGAGGTATTGTGATCGGGAACGTGAGCAGGTCGAGGCACGTTTGTTGAAAGACTAATTTGTTGACAACCCAACGTATGGTGAAGAAAATTTTCGAGGTAGATTTCGAATGCGAAAACCACTATTTCTCGTATAGTGGAAGCTGTTACAGCCAATGACCGATATTTTCAACAAAGATGTGATGCCACAGGCAGACAAGGTCTTTCACCATTACAAAAATGTACCGGAGTTATGCGGGTGTTGGCATATGGGACATCAGCAGATGCACATGATAAATATTTGAGAATGAGTGAGACTGTAACATGGGATGATCTTGTAAAGTTTGTGGAAGGTGTTATTTCATTCTTTCGTGAAGAGTACCTTAGACGCCCCAATCAAGATGATTTGGCATGACTACTCCATGTTGGAGAAGAACGTGGATTTCCAGGTATGGTAGGCAGCATTGACTGCATGCACTGGGAATGGAAAAATTGTCCCACCGCTTGGGTTGGACTATATGCAGGTAGAAGCGGTAAGACAACAATAATTTTGGAAGCTTTTGCATCGTATGACTTATGGATATGGCATGCATTCTTCGGAACATCGGGTTCATGCAATGACATTAACGTCCTCCAAAGATCTCCTATTTTTGGTGATGTCTTGGCAGGTCGAGCACCAAAGGTGAGTTACACTGTGAATGATCGAGAAAATCATATGGCTTATTATCTCAATGATGACATATATCCTTCATGGGTTGCCTTTGTCAAGTCAATAAGTTCTCCACAGCTTCGAAAACACAAGTTGTTCGCTGAACATCAAGAGGCTACTAGAAAAGATGTTGAACGAGCATTTGGATTTTTACAAGCTCGTTTTGCATTTCTTCGTCGCCCTTGTCTTGTGTGGGACAAAGATATGATGAGTAAAATTATGATTGCATGTATCATCATTCATAAATATGATAGTTGAGGATGAACGACACACATACCTTCATTATTATGACCCATCCGAATTTATAACAACTGAAGATGAACAATCATTTGAATACTCTACTCAACGAATTGCAAATCTATCTAGTTATATGACCAACAGGGCACAAGTTCCCAATAGATATGCTCATAATGCTCTAAAAGATGATTTGGTTGAGCATATATGGAAAAAATTCAACACTGAAGAATAATTAAGTAGTTTGCATTTTCCATATTTGTAACTTATTATATCTATTTTATTAGTGTGTTTCATGAATGTAAAATAATTTTTTATCTAGTTTTTTTATTATTTTTTTATTTTATAATTTCATGCTTAAAATAAATAATTTATTTGTTTATACTTCTAGTAGTTTTTAGTAAAATAAATTATATTTTTTAAGGAAAAATGAGTTTGGGTTGGGTTGCTAATGAGTGTAAAAATTGGATTGGGTTGGGTTGTATAGGTGGAAGACAGAGAAATTAGTTGTTTATTGAAAAGTTGGATTGACTTGGATTGCTAATGGGGATAGTCTAAGGTATGAGTACCAAAAATCATATCCCTAGGGGCCTTTATATAGTGCAGTCAGGAAACCCTACATAAGCCTAAACCCAATATAATAATATTATCTTGAACCATGTAATTATCCAGTTTCGTAATTATCCACCAAGGATAATTCTAGAAACCCTAAAGGCTCCTTAAAACTGTCCATAGCCTCATGGAGGGTTCTAGAATGCCTCTTGTTCAACTATTGAACAATTGCACTTCAGTCCCTGCACTTTCATCTAATTCTTTTAATCACCAAATAATTCGAATTAATTTCTGATTAAATATTAATTAAATATTACTATTGATAATTAATATATTATTTCCATAATATATTAACAAATTATTTATTTCAATTTATTAATCCAATAATAAATCATTCTCTCTCTCTCCAAAAATATTGTTTCCATTGATAGGTTTGAGGGCAACTCAAAAGGACCGTGCTACTATCAATTTCAGTTTATACCAATTATAGTTATGGGCTTATACACCTAATCCAACAGTACATAACTAAGATTTATAGTCTGAGAATGATTGAATTAGCCTTATTTCTTGTTCCTCGTCCGGTTGTGGACTTAGGGTAGAATCAGTTATTCGACTGTCTATCGAATCCAATGTTATGTATGATTAGCATACACAAGGCGACTGTAGGGTTAGTGGAAGTTTCATGAGCGAGTGGGGTTGTTAGTAAGACAACAAGTAAGGAATTGTTAGTTACTCTTGAGAGAGTGGATATAGGACATATATGTATCCTAAATGCATTTTGATGCCTTGTTGCCTGTAGAGTTCTACTGCTTGAATGTTGCTTGCTTTGTGCTTTGTATGACTCATATTGATGTGAGTTAACTATTAAATGAATATGTTAAGTTACATGCTGTAAAGGTTAAGTAGTTTTAGAATGATTGATTTGGACCTATTGCACAGCTTACGTATGAGTCTAACCGTTGTAGGGTTGGGTCTTTTAGTCGAAAGATTATTTAACTTTTGTTGCATGTAATTGTATTCATGTAGTAGTTAGTTGACATTGATAGGGGTCTTTCATCAACTGATGGTAGGGTGAGGTGGGGATCCTAGGAAGTGCTTTAGTGTGGGTGGTATGTTTTTTAGTGGGTATTGGGAGTATTATTATGAGTAGGTGGCTTAGACGACTCGAGATGATTCTTGAGGAAAGTATGGATATGTGTGGAAGGTAGTATTGGGACCGTACTAATGGAAGCACAAGACCCATACTCAAATCAAGGAAATTCACAGGGATTCTAAGGAGCTGGTTAAGGGTAGATAACATGGTTTGATACCATGATTCATTGTAGTATTTATGTATCTGACTGCCTTTTTGGTTATGGTTGTTCAGAATGAAGATGAGAATGATATTTATTCGGGCCTTAGAGGTCATGGCAGTTTGGATATGAAGGGTACAAATTTGTGCGAGTTAGTTGGTGTTAAGATGTCAAGACCTTGTTCAAAGTAGTGACGGTTTAAGTCGTGGTACTCACGAAGAAAGCAAATGTGATGATCGGACCGAGGGTTGCAGCCTGTAGATAGGTGTTTCGCCGATGGATTGGGACATTGTTCTCCATGACAGGGTTATGTTCTTCCAACCTCCCACATTTGAGGGGGGAAGGGATCGGATGTGGGTCAGTCGATAGAAATAAGGAAGGGAGCGTGTTCACTGCGTCAGTTTCTTCTGCAAGAGGGTATCGTTCGATTCTTGGTGCATCATTTCCGTCTTTCACCAAGGTAATGTATGAGACTCGACAGTTCTTTTGATTTGGTGGCCTAGGTGAGGACCATGTCACAAGCCGGATATGTGACACAGTTTCGAGAAGATCGGGGTATCCAGGGAGGATCAAGATGTTGTAATCCGGAACGGAGAGTCCTATTGGTATGCTAAGTTTTCAAAGTTATTGATTGAACACCTAAAATGGATCCTTGAAGCTCCAGAGGAAGAGAAGTTTGTGGATAAAATCCTCTAATGCAAGTTTGGGTTTCCCGAATCTCTATTCGTAAGGTGACTCGTCAATCCAGTGGTATTTTGATCGATTTCGTTAAGGTCGAGGCGTCAATGCTGGGAAGAGTTTCCAAGGTATCTATCTGAGGTTCTAGGTTTCTTCATGATTGTTTGGTCACTATTTGAAGGATATTCATTTGCCATTTTGCATACCGAGAGTTGTGTTTAGAAGGTTTTTTATATGAACCGATTTTA